CCCGCCGCAGCTCGGGCGCACCGTGGCGTCGGGAGTGCCTGAGGCGGCCGCTGAAAGCCGGGACCGCCACCCCGCCCGGCGGGCTGCGTTTGCCGCCTGGTGACAGTCAGCGACGCGTCTCGCCTTGGAGCAACAAAGGGGCTATGGCGGAAAAGGCCTCCAGCGCGGGAGAAGTAGGGGGTCAAAAGTTTGCGCCGCAAGATCATGATACCCCAAACATTTATTACTAATTGAATGCCTCCAACAACACTCATTATGGAAAGTATTCACCGTTAGAATATAGTAATTTATGTCATTTGAGTTCGTGAAGCCTTCCACTGACCGAGGCCTCTCACTTCTCTTCTTTCCAAGTAGACTGTAAGAAAACCAGGCCGGGAAGGTCTCTGAACTTGTGGAGAAGCTTCAGGAAGTCTCCAGAAAAAAAAAAAAAAGAGTACTCAGGGAAACTGTTCGTGATGTCTAAATATTTATCCCAAAGGTGGGTAGTAAGGAAGGAGTAATTAGTATTAAAGATGCCAAATATCACACTTCTAATTATATTAGAAAAGGTAGCACAACGGAAAGTAAATCTGAATGCACATCTGAGATCATGAGACTCGCTGCCTAATCGGTGACTGCAAATTATTACATCACTTAGCGTTACTGTTAGGTGTTGTCTCTGACATAGCGATTTGCCTCTTACAGGTTTAGTACAGTTAAGACTATCTTTGCTAAAATTGGAATTACTCCGTTTATAGTCAAGCTTTGCTGGTTTTATGTGTTCCCTTCTCACAATAATCTAGGCTTTTTATCATTTTTCTGTTGGGATTGCTCTGAGTAGTTAAATACATTTGCATGTCACAGTGGAGAACAAAGTGTCTCTTGTAGAAATGCATATGAAATAGCTGCAAGACCCCTCAAGAAACCATACAGAATGCAAGCTAATTTGGCATCTGTGGGAACTATCCAAAGACTGTCCTAAAATCAGACCTTGGAAACAATGGAAGTTCATGTTTTAATTCAGATTAGAATTCTGCAATAGAATTAGTAGAGCTGTATAGTATTTCTCTGGATAAAATAATCTTTCCCTTCCTCTGTTAAATTGCAAGACATTTCAAATGCCGTCTGCGATGGGAGATTTGCCTCCAGTAACAGAGATGTGGAATGATGCTCACTGATGACACCACGTACACCATTGTGGAACACCGTTGCGTTGTGTTGTACTTAAGCAATTTGCTGTGTGTATCCTCGTCTATAGCTGCATACCGTACTATCCTTAGATGTTTTAATAACAGTTTAATTCCCTATCACATAATTGATTACATACCTTTTGCAGTGAAGAAAGGTCACGGATTTGTACACTCTGTCTGACATTGCTAATTATCAAAAAGATTTCATATATTTTACGGAATTAAAATACAATATTTTATGTAACAGTATTGCCTAAGTGGTTGGAACCAATAATACCGATAGCACGTTAAAAAGGTATGGCATGACCTCCAGTTCACAGGCTATCTCTGATTATCTTCTTAACGGAAATACAAACACAAGAAGACATCCAACCCTTGCTACCAAAACACAAGGAGAGTAACAGAATGTAAACACAAAGCTGCTAATGTACACACTGACACATGAATGACATTTACATTGTTTGGAATAAAATCCAGGATAGTCTTGAATAATGAGCAACAGAAAAACTGCTATAGCAAAATCATCTTTAGAATCAAATGCGGACTCATTTGAAATGAGAGGTTTTTCATTAAAAAAATGGTGCAGCTAATAATAAAGTCTTTTAACCTGCATTTTGTTATAGGTGACAGGTGAACAAATCACAGGTCTTGAGTTTCTCTACCCTGCCTCTCTTGGTAACGTCATCTCCAGTACCATCTGCTACCTACCAGACAAACAGACCAACCACATAATGAGGTACCAGCTTCCACCCAGCTACCGTGACTAAATCAGAACAAAAGATTGAACGCCTCCTTCAACAAAGGAACACAAGTCTAAGCTGTCTTTGCTAATTGCTGGGTTTCAGGTTGTCTGTTACAGATTTTAAGTGAGCTACAAACTTCCATCAAATACTTATAGCTGTTGGATAAAGGTACTAAGAATAAAAGATAAATGGAAGCAAAAGGTAAGAGAGAAGAGAAGAAAGCTTAGAAAATAAGTAGCTACTTATGGTAATTTAAAGGCTGTGGAATAATATAAACATGAAAGACCAGGGGGCAGAGTGATTGATATCTCATATGTTTTCGATGCCCCTACGGTTATTAGACTGCAATATATGGGAACATACAATAAACTATGAATTAAAATGTAATTGTAGCTTCAGGCGTCTTCTTCATTGTCTGCTGTGGTGTTATGTCTTCATGCACCGTGATTGACAAGGTGTAATTAATCATCTTACTCAGTTGTAAATATGGGCACCCTTCACAGTAGGCATCAGGAAGTGTGTACCAGCAAAGGAAGCAATAGTTGACGCTGATATACCATTAAATCAAAATCAGAACGCTTATATGTTCAGAAATGTGTGTTTGGTGTGATGCTGTTATCGTTTATTTCTAAAATACTGTACCAACAGATTTACTTGATTTGCAAGTTAACTACAACATTAACTGGTTTTATTTATTTTGTCTCTTCTTCATTTTTATAGGCAATGATGTTGTTCTCCTAAAATGTGAGACAGTTTGCTTCTTGTCAGCAAGTGGAGCTCAGCTCAGCTCTTCATCTCCCTGAGTTGCCGGAGACAGACTAGCATGCTTCAGATTCAGTTGCTCTATAGACTGACTTGAAACAATTCAGGGAAATTATTACTCCATTCATATATCACTTTTTGCACTTCTTATATACCGAGTTAGACACTTCAGGTCATTTTAAAGTGAAAGAGAATAATGAAATAATCTTATTAAGAAACACTGTTCACTTTAAAAATAGGACATTTCTTGTCACAAATGCTGTCCCCAAACTGTAAATGAACGTATTTTTAAAGAATTTTTTCAGTATTCCAGGGCAAGAAACATTTTTATATCTTTTCTTTTTCTAAATGACTGCTATCCTTATCCAGTTAGTGCAAAAATGGTGTATGAGTCACAGGAAATTTAAGTGGTTTGTCTCAGGAAAATTTGGTGGTACGCATTTTTTTGACGCACATAGAGCTGCTGAATGAATAATTGGCAACCTATTTAATGTCCTTTGCTTTAAAGCTGTCTAGTATATTTGCTGTTTAAAAAAATGTCTTTCAAAGCTGTTAAATATGTAGCAAAAAGAGGTTGCTATCACCATTCTGACATGAACAAAGCCATACAGTGAGCTGCCTGAGGTACTTCCAGCATGGTATTAATTACAAACACAATAATAACTGAAAATTTGCAAAGTTCTCAAATTCCATTTCTTTGGAATAACAGCTGATGAATGTTTTATAAAAGTATGCAGTAAAAATATTAGTCCAGGAATTACCTATTAAATATTACCTAAGCCAAGCATTTTGGGGAGAGTATGGAATCTGTTGGATCTATAATTTCACCATTTACCCCTGATTGAGTAAGATCTCTAGCTGTCAAAAGCAAACCGAGCTTAAAACAGTAGCGCACTTTCAAGAAGATGATCGACTAAGAATGTGTTTTATTTTGATTTGAAAAACTGTCAATCATAGATTAAAAAGACCAAATAATATTATTATATAATATTAGCTAATTGTATTTGTCTGGTAAACCAGGAATATGCAGGGAAGATAAACAATACAGTTTAAAAGGAAAATATTCAGAATGTTTTGCCCAGATGTTGCATTGAAATTGTGTGTCATTGGTACAAGCAACAGATTTCAGATAAAAATACAAGCATGTATAAGATGCCCATGATCTTTCATATTTCAGTTTATATAGCGACAGCTATTTAAACAATTCCAAAACTGCCTCTATGGGTGTCAAAGAGGGAGGGAAATCTTCAACCACATGATCTTCTCTCCAGAGTCCTGTTAAATCCACT